TTTTCTTCAGACACCCGTCATACGCCATATTCCTTATTTCGAGAAAACTTACAAAAGTCTCCCCCTTTTTCGGAGTTCAAAATATTTTTAGTTATTAAGTGGTTGATAAATGAATATTTTTCATATAAATATGCACTATACTATTTGACTATCCTCTTGGAACAATAATCTTCCACTAATGCTTATTTTAGATCTCGTCTTTTGACGGATTTTATGAAATAAACGATTCAACTTATAAGAAACAATCTACACAAAACTCAGAACATGTTGTGCTGTTGGAGAGGAAATGCCCGGTTGTTCCGCATCACACACGTTTAAGACGCGAAAACAAAATGTTCGCCGAGTATAGTACAGGAGGAAAAATAAATGCAAACCACAACCCACGTTAAGCTTGAACATAATTTCACGAGCGTATGTGTTTCGTATAAGATACTCTACAAGGTCTATAAATTTAGTTTTTGGGACTCTATAGAGACACGCGTCATGTCCTAACCTACAACAAACCTTTCTGCACCCGCTATTGCGTTTTTGAAGGGTGACTGTACTTTCATGTGCGAATTGTGCGCAAAGGACTCGGTTTCGGTGTGAAGCAATTTTTATTTTTATAATAATAAGTTAGAAAGTACGAATTTATGAAGTACATTAATGAAGTTGGGGAAAAATTCGTAAACTACCATTCACGACATTAATTTGGCAAACAAATATAAATATTGAGCATATTCAAATAAATGAGTTGTTTTATTAATTACGTCAAGGTGATCGTTAAAAGTGATGTGTAAAGTTAAAAATTAGGTTTTTACATTCAGGGAGTGTTACCGACTGACGAAATTTTGTAACGGATTTCAATAAAACTATGATGCGTGTTTTTGATTCACACTGCAGAAAATTATGAGTTTTATTTTCTGAATAATAAATAATAAAATGAGTCAAAATTAGGCACTTAAGTATATTCAATAATTTTTCTAGGTGTCTACACACGTAGATGTCTACACGTCTTAAGTGTCTACGTCTAATTATTTGTATACGTGAGTTTCCGCGGTTCGAATCCGTAAATTCGGCGTCTCCCGGATAGCCGAGAATTTACGTCTAACTATTTACGAGCTTATGAAAAGTGTATTCATTTTACAAATCTTACTTTCTCATATCCGGAGTATAAATATAATCATGCAAAAATATAATGTCAAGATTTTGGCAAAAATAAGCGTTTAGATGTCTTGATATCGAAAACTTTTGTTTTCGTTGTCTCTTAGACTGTCTGGCCGTCCGTCCGTTCGTGAATAAAACTTGGATCTTGTCCCATTGAATATTTCCCGATCTATATGGCCAAACTAAAAATCCTGTGAATTTCAAACGATTCTCTTAATTTGTAGGTTCTTTTGTGGAGACCGTATTTTACGGTATTTTCAAAACTTTTCAAATCCTCTCTCTTTTTTAATATTCCTCTCAAATAAAGGACGGTGCGCTTGTCAATAAAGGAATGTCCCATTTTCACTAAAATCTCTCAAAGTTCAAAAATTTTAAATGTTCAACTTTTCGAACCTGAGATAAACCTTTATTTTTCCCTTCATCATTTAATTTTTTTTTTCGAACAATTAGTAGCATTTCCGTAATTTAGTGTCAAATCGTAACAATTTTCAAAAACTCTTCAAGATTTTCACAAAACTGAAGCAATTTTTCTTTAAACATTTTACAAAGACAGAATACTGTATAATGGATTAAATGGGACAATTGCAATTTTTATTAACATGTTCGAAGTTAAAGATACATTTAAGTAAAAAATTAAGGATTGACTTTTTCGAATATCGTGTCCATTGTTTGGTGAAGTTTTCTTAATGTAGTTCGAAGTTACAGTATTCGCTCAATGCAACACTGCGAACATTGATTAAAAATACTAATCGATTGATATTTCAATCTGTAACAGGCATGCTCGTACTTTTCAAAAGATTCTACGAGATAAAATCAATGAGATCAACAAAGGCCAGTAAAAACATGTAATTCAATTAAAGTATTACCAGGCACTTGGAGTGCATGAGAGGCCTCGTGGGAGAACACGCACCGGGGACCGGCGTCAAGTAGTAACCGCAGCGAGATGATAACGTAAATACGCGCGGACAGCCCGGCAGCACCTGGGGACACGTAACGGTTGAAAGCACAGAACATGTGCTGGCGGGCGCGATAAACCATGGAGAGGCGGAGTGATTTTCACAACATGGCCCGCGCCCCCGAAGGGACTTCCCAGGCTGTTCTCTGCCCCACCCACCAACTGCAAACTCTCGTCAAGTTCCGTAATTTTAGGGCTCTTTTCAGATGGTGTAGTAATAACAATAAATGTATATGAAAATAAATTAAATACTTTTGATTTTACTCATCTGTCACATTCATTCTATCAGAATATACCCTCCCCTTGAAATTTTTATCATCTCGACCGGAAATCTTGGATCACAAAATATATATGATTTTCAAGTCTTGGTGACAAGTGTGTGTCGTCTTGTTCATGAGCCAAAATATGATACTTAATTCTCGTAATATGCAACTATGATTTATATTTTACTGTGCTTTTTCTTTCCTTGTTAATTTTTACCAGCTCAGTACACTAAAAGTTCAGCTCGCAAACGTTTTTGTGGTTTTTAATGGCCAGGTAAAACCACAGTGATCAAAGTTTATACGATATTAAAAGACACTTTATGGTCAAAATTTGAAATGTTTTTCAAATTTCATTACTTACTATTTTTAAGAAATAAATAACACTTCCTTAGAACATTCTCGATATACTAAAGATATCGAGGAACTAACTATGAAATTACTAAAGTTGTCGCAGAAGGCTTGTAATTTTGTTTCTTGGTTAACTTAATATAACTTCCAGGAAAATAGAAAAAGCAATTATGAAAAACTAACTGAAGTTGGCATGGTTGCACCATGATTATACAAACACAGATGCATATAAATAACAAGTATAAAACTTTTCACTGGATTCACATATTTCTTGAATTATACATTTTCGTTTTCCCAAGAAGATAATAAACTATTGTATTCGTTGTATTACTGTTTGTTTTACTAGAACCATAATTAACATTTTGTCACTGTCATAACTCACTTATTTTTTTCAGATCCCCGAAACCTCCAGCGCCAGCACCTGCAACATAAAGAAATGATTTAAAACTATTATAATTTTGAATGTAATTTACTATGTAATATTCTGTATACTAGTAAAAATGTTAAGCATAACTACTCTTTTAAGAAGACTACTCCACACAACTGAGATTCAATATATCATGTGTAACGATAAACATTCCTGACAAAATTCATTGTTGCAGCCTTCATGATTTTATTAGAAATCAATGCATTCTACCTTAGCAAATTCCACAATTTTGTAGTTCCTATTTTGCATTGTAGCGTGGTGGCAACCCAGAAAAGCCTCTTTTGCCCTGGATAGAAATAAATTTAATAGTGATATTTTACGATTGTTACTAACATGAGGCAACAAAGATTATCTCTCGTTAAGTAAGCAAAGTTGTGGTGTCATGGTAGTAACAAAAACAAGTTTCAAAAATACTGAGAGTTCACCGCTTTTAAACAAATTATTGTTTAAAAACGCTTATATCTCAGGCAAAATTACGTAAAAACGAGTCATATCTTCGAAAACTTCGATTTGACCTTATTTAAAGAAGACTTTGAGAAACAGGTTTCATTCAAGGTAAAATCTCTATCTTCAATATTGTAGTTGTACGAAGGTCTATATCTTCGAGAAATATATTACCTAAAAATTTGGACAGATTTTTGGGAAAGCTTTGAAATTGTTAAGCTTTGTATAAAATTTCCCCAAAAATTAACATTTATGTTTCAAATTGGCAAGATCCTCGAGTTTGGCCTCATCGATGAAGGAATATCAGTTTTAGAGAAATTCATCTGAACTGTTAAGGCGCTAGTATTGATCAAAGACAGATTGAAAAATGTTTGCCGTAAACCAATTTTTTTGACAACAAGGACCTACAGAACGTGAGAACGTATTCAGACGGGGGTCTGAATACGCAAAGTCAGAAAGTAATATACTGCATTTAGAAACAATATTTATCTAATGTTTTGGTATAAGGTCCCAGGAATTCGAGTTTTTCTGAAGAAAAATCGCTACTTTCTGCTGCAAGATTACAATAGTTTCTCCTTAATGTGAAAGTACGTAGCTTTGTTTTAATTATCGTACATACATAACGTTTCAAGCCTTTTGACGTGGAGAATAAAAAATTATCTTTCAACATAAATCACTCATAGGTCAACTTGTCAGTCATACCTGTTTATGTCTATCAGCCAGGGGATTAGCGCTGTTAGTATCCGGGTTTTCCAGATGATCACCCATCCAGTGACCCGCTTGTCTTGAGCTGATTAAGTGCCGTGACTTGACGGAGCTCGACTAAAAATTAAGTAGGAGGGAAAGTAAAATTTCATGCTTTTAACACGTTTGATGGTATTAGGCATATCTCCTTGAATATTTTCTCAGTGTTCATATTAAAGAGCTAACATTTCCTTTATTGGTAAATACTACTCTAAAATATTTGTTCTTAAGCTGAAGTCTCTAGAAGCTGAATTCTTACGCACAAATAACATGCTTTCTAATATTGAGGACTGTGTTTACGGATTCTGTATAATCCCCATTCTTTATAAAATATTTTTAACTTCAAGGACCAACACATTAATTGAGTCATTAATTGAGTATTTATATATAAGTAAACATAGGAAATTCAAGAATTGTAAACGTAATCAATCATTAGAGCGCAGTTGTAACATTTCATAAAGGTATCGCATGATCACTGTGAATATTAGTACGATAAAAAATACAAGAGCAACGATTATATTGATCAGTAGCTGCTCAGGTACTCCCCATGAACAAGATTCTAACAAATGGTCCATTTACATTTGCTTCACAAAAAAGAATTTTAAACCTGTTTATTGCTAACATTTATATAAAACATCAATGTTGCGTGATATACTTGGAAATGAATATCTAGCAGCAAAATAGCTGTTCTCATGACAAAATAAACTGTATGCTTTAATCAGACTCTTATATCGCGTTTGTACGCACGGATATGCATTGCTCTGCGAGTCGTGATGAGATATGCAAATAAAAAAGTCATGACCCTGGGAACAGAGGAGCTCTTGGAGCTTTTTATGGTTCATTGTTTTGTTTTACTTTTTATTTTATTTTTATACCTGCCTCTTTTCATGTGTTTTCAATTCAAAGGTATTTCGTTCTCTATACTCCATTGTTGCTCGCGGCCTTTATATTCTTTTTCTTTCTATCTTTCCTGAGATTTATTAATGCACACCCCCTCCTGAGTATGACAGTTTTGTGACATGACTATTGAAGTTCAAATGAAATACATTGCGTAATATTCTTTTCTTTCCCGAGTAACAACTTAATTAGGCAGGCACACTGCCTCTAGTAAAACAGAGTCAACAGACCCATAATTATTTAAAATATTTCGTCACTCGTGTTTTAAATTACATTTTCACGTGTGAAATTCTATTCGAAACTAAATAAACTAAATTCATTCATTATGTATAAGAGCTTCAAATGAATTTACATGCTTCAGATAGAAGCATTTTATGTAAATATAATAAATATTAAGAAAGCAAAATCTCTCTTTCATTACATTGGTCAAAGAGATGGTTTGTTACAATGTGATCCAGTATATGGAAGAACTAAGTGTTGATGCAATTGTATCGAATCCTGGTTCGGACGAATCTCTGGCCTGTACTGGAAAAATAATGTTCATGAACAGCACTCAAAGCTATTCCGTACCGAAATCTACGCTGTAGGAAGCAGCACTACATACTAATAACTACTTCGTACTAAGAATTGGTAGGTGGTAATCAGTAATAACTCCTGTGAATATGTTATCTTTCAACAGAAACGTATGTTACAATCAGTAATAATAATTACTCTCCTATTACATGCTAAACTTGAACGTCACATGGAAAGAGAAGACCTAGTTTTTACGCTTTTTTCATTTTCAGCAAAGAGCATTTTGAACAATAACAATCAGAAATTGAGAGGTAGCTTGCTAAATTGCGGTAATCGACAAGAAGAGTCGAACTGAACAATCAATGTTTTTGAATTAACAAAAAAAGTTGTCAAATTAAGACTGGAACTTAAAAATCTACCATTCTCATTCTCTGGTTAAATTGGAAGACCCTTGTCAAACAGGAATAATATAGGTTACTCCAGGTTATTTATAATTTTAATAATAATTGTTCCTATCATTCATTTCAAAATACCATTCATTTCGAACTGCCACTCAGTGTTCACATTGCGTTGCGTGGTCCACGTGTATGGTCCGCTGTAAACATTCTAATGCTTGATTCACAAGTTTGAGCTGGTTATGATTGTAAATCAAAACAAAGACCAAATCTTGAATTTTTAGGGATCGCCACCTCGTACAGTAATTACGCCCGTCATTAATTTCACTATTCCAGAACAAACGCGGCCAGCACTCGGTTCGTAGCGCTCTCTTTGCGCTATCGGGAAAACAGATCCAGGTACGCCAGAGCTACTACAGAGTTCCAAGTCTTCCCTTTGATTGCCTTGCAAGGTCCTCTGATTGGCACGGGCAAGATTGTCGGTTGAGAATAAAACAGTTGTTTCACTGTACACAAAAACAGGTTTTTATAATACACAACAATTAATTGTGCGAACGTAACAAAGAATTTGTACCATTCTGAATTGTCCATACACTTTCCACCATAAACAGTCTGACAAATTCTGTACAACACGGTGTACTCACTTTCGCAAACGGTCTCGTCTACTTTCGACAACGGACACATGCTTCCGCCAAGGGAACTTCTACTTGCTCACTCTGCTCTGAGGTTTCGTGGGTGGTGATATTCCAGGTGTCACTTTATCCCACACAGTTTTTGACATTTCTTGTCTAGAATGTATAGAATAAATTGTTTGCACTGGTGACAGTAATAGGAGGTACTTTATGTACTCGTAACATTAGTTTATCGTCTTCAGATCAGTACTTTCAGTTGTAACTTCATTGAAATGTTTATTCGGAAGTTATCTTTAATATATAAATAATTCACCAACAAATTTAATTAAATTTCGATTTTTTACACATTTCTATTTACGAATTCATTATTGCTTCTTGCATTCAACTTTCGGCTCTTAAGGCGATTTTTTACACAAATAATGTACCAACTAATTTTAACTTAATTCTGATGTTTTGTATATTTCTACTACGAATGCATTAACTCTTATACTGCTTTTTGCACACACGAAACACTTTCGTTACTGTGATGACCTTTCAATAAGCAGCCGTGCATAATCTGCTGTGATTTCAATTTTGATGTCTTTTATATTTATGACACGAATATATTATGAACTATTACATTGTTGCTTGCATTTATTTTAAACTCTAGGCATTATAGTGAGTGCCTAATACTTTCTTTTTTCATTCAATTTAATTCTAATTTAGAAACGTTTGTCCACCCTATCACGAGCTTCAATATGCGAGACATGTGTTAACTAAATTAATGTAATGTGTCTATATCCCTAACTGCCATTTAACATTTGATTGTTGTATTTAATGCTGAAATAATGTGTCCACTGAAGTCCTTACATTGTCATTCCTGAGCGTTTCTATGTATTCTCAATACAAAGGTGCATGTTAAATATTGTTTCTTCACACGCTGTGTGTTAGGTAATTTCCAGTTCCAGTTATTAAAGTACCTCATATTTTCCTTTTCTTCTAAGATATTATAAACATCGTTGATTCTGAGATTCTAATTTCTGCACTTCATGTATTTTGCTTGTTAAACCTTCTTATTAATTGAAATAAGTAGTATTATAATTTCTTTCTCCGGCAGCGGACGCTCGAGGGTTCTTAGAGTACAAAGGCGCATTTACGGAGGCTCAGTACAAGTAACGATTCTCGCAAGCCCCCACGACGCGCGGCAATGCGATTCCCGTCGCTACTGTTCCGCGCACCCGTCAGCAGGCCTCCCCCGCCAGCCGCCCATGCGATTTTCTTCCACCCACATCCGTCCACTCTGCGCATCGGTGCCATGTTATCACCCCCCTCTCTCTCTCTCTCTCTCTCTCATTTGTATCTCCCTCTCTCGGCTCCTGACACACTCTCCATGTCACATCCTGCTCCTTGGACTCTAATGCCGTCACCCTCTTGCGCTGTGACTCCCTCTTTTCGTTTCTCATCCTGCTACCTGTTCTCCTTTTACCATTTCCCCCACCCTCACTTGCTCTATCGCCGTCCGTATCTTTCTCGGTCGCTCTCTCCCTTTCTCTTGGGGCGCTCTCACTTTCCTTCGGTCGCTCTCACATTCTCGCGGTTGCTCTCTCATTTTATCTCGTTCGTACACTCATTCTCTTAGTCTCTCTCCTATAGCTCAGTCTACTCTTCCTCAGTTTTTCACTTTCTCTGCTCCAACACTCCGTCGTTTTCACTCTTCCCGTATTTAACTCTTTCGTACTTATTTTCTCTCCCACACGAGTTTGCGGATCCCCTATTTTATGTTCGTTACATGTGAGGTTTCTATTTAATTTTCATGGAATAAGCGCTAGTTTAAATCATTTGTCCTTCACAGGCAGAAACGCCCTCTTACATTTTCGTGGAAGCTACAAAGACGTTAAAGGGATATTTTTTACATTATTATTCGCTTCACAGTATTCGTTTTAATGTATTAGTTAGAACATTTTCTTAATTTTAAAAATAGTATACACCAACCTTCACTATGTAGACGTTCGGTTAAGAACGTTTGCTACAAATTGTAGGAGTGTAAGTCGCTTTTATTACCAATATTATAAAATCATTTGTGTAGTTAATTTATGGAGGCAATTAATTAATTTATTTTAATCGGGAATCAAAATTTCCACTTTTCAAATATTGCTTTTCTCACTTTGTTTGTACTTTTATTCATAATTCAAATACGTATAGAAAAAGGGCATGGCTATATGTTCACCACCCCTATCCCTTAACCCACGACCGCAAGGCTGCGATACTGCTGGTAGGCCTTAGCTCGTAAATAGCTGTTGGTCCAAAGTACACACGTACAAAGAAAAAGAGTTTTGGAGCTCAAGAAAACGTGCACCAATTATACGTTGTCCACATACGTCACAAAGAGTTTATACTGTTCTTTGGAAAATAAATGAAATCAAATATTTCTGCTGAAAATTACTAATAATTGCAAAATCAATTCGCGAAAGCAAAAAACAGCAATCTGTCACTTTCTTTCTCACTTTAGCTTATATACTATTTAGCTCATGTACTCTTCGCAACATGTCATCGAGACAACCAAAAGTCCAAGGGGAAAGAATACTTTTGCAGCTTGTGCCATTGCCATGACGAATTTTCCATGTACTTTAAGTTTGATAAAGGTATCAAAAATATGCAATACTAGATCAGCTTTAAGTTCCCAGTACTAGCTCGTCCAAAAAGTCCGTCCATCCTCCTGTGAAGATAAATCCTCGCACCTTCCTCTCCATACAAACAACTCCATACTCTTCGTTACAAAATCACAGTAGGGGAAACACGTTTCTTACGCCTGCACCATTTTATACACGGGCACCTAGGAATTTAATCGCTGTGGAATTAGATTTGTTTTGCATAACGTAATTGCCACACAACGTTGGCTGAACACACATCAATTATGTTTGGTTGCAATAATAAGTAAATTTTATGATCTTCATTCATGTCACTTATTTATTTGTTGATTATAAGAATGAAGTATGTAATGTTCGAAATAATTTATTAACCAGGTACACGAAGTAAATGGACTGCATTGATTATGTTTGTAATTCCTTTGAGTTGGAAAGAAAACGGCTCAAACAGAACTTTACGATGCATAGAAGTCCAATAGCGTCATTACTGTAGGAAACAGATCTCTTTATTTCAGCCATTCACTGAAAAAAGTAAAACAAATTAAAAACCTCAGCCCACATTTACCATCTTCCTCTCACGCCATTTTCTAGTTACTTTCTACAACATTTCACCACCATAAATCAGCTCCGAACCCAAAAAAATCGATCTTCATTTATTCAATCGCACTGCCAGCTTCACTGCGCTACGATAAATTTAATCAAAATATGCGCCACCCTTTGGGCCGTTTGCTGACGCGCACGTGTACGGCCGAATAAATAACAGCGGGCTAATAGCGGATACGTGTCGCCGCGTGTTGGGCGCGCGCTCGCGTTTGTCAGGGCGCGCTTTATGGAACAGCGCGGGCGATGGCGGCGAAGGCATGCGGACGCTGAGGAGGTGGAGGTGGCGGTGGCTGCGAAGTTGTGCATTTGCAATTGCAGATTACTGAAAACGATGGATAAATTTACACATTTTCAATTATCTCCAAACTGCACTTTAGATTTAGATTTTTTATTTTTAGTGCAGAATTATTTTAGAGTATTTTTTTAAACACTTGGGAAATATTAACACATTAATCAGAAGCCATAATTGAGATTAAATATTTTTTTAATCCTTCTATTAATTCTGAAGCCTCCGAAAACGAGAAGAGACATTAAAGATATAGGAACTTTTTGTCTTACGTACAGTAAGAACTGGATTTCAATAATTGCCTGACAGAATTTGAGTCCCCCGAAGAAGAGGAAAAGTAGTCATTGCAACGTTGAGTTGTAAAGCTTAAAGATACAATAAAATTAAAATAATATTAGAATAAAATTCTTGAATCTAAATTATAGTTTCCGATTAATGCGTTTCTGGCTTCAACGCATTCAATAAAAAATGAATATCTAAATTCATTCTGGATTAAACATCTAACAAAAAAATAGGTCAATGCGGATTAAAGACTAACAAATAAATAGGCACGCGAACGCAGTGGAGATAGAAGTGGCAGTGGCGACAGCAGCGGCAGCGTTGTGGAGGTGTTGGGGGAGATGGCGCTGATGGCTAAACGTGATTCCAGGCGCGTCACCTAATATAGTCATTAGTACCGTAAGTGTGGTGCGTATGTTTGCTTGGACGGTGACGGTGGTCTTTCCCCGTTGTATGGCGAGATCTGGCGCTCCAGCTGGGATACGTTCTAAGCTCCCAACCCGTCTCCCGGAATGTGTGGTAATATAGTGTATGTTTGTGTAGGTGCGTGTGTAAGGGGTGAGGAAAGGAGAAGAAAGAGGTAGGAAAGATCGCGCCCGGTGGTCCGTTTGGTGGGGTAGTGCTCCGGCATTCGCCTAGTGGTGATCGGAGAAACTACGGAAAACTACCGATCAGAGAAGCCGGCCGCTAGAATTTTTCTCCAGACAGCAACTTTATTCCACCTAGCTGACACACTAGAGTTGAAAACCCTGCCACCCACCCACATGACTCGAACCCAAGACTTCCCGCTCAGAGGGACTGCAGTGACATCAGTTAATGCTGCGAGCCTTCTCTCCCGGTCAGAACGGAGATAGTGGAACCGGCAGTGACGCTGGTGGAGATAGGAGCAGAATGTCGGCTGTGGAGGTGATGGAGACGGAGGCGTTGTCGGTGGTGGAGGGGGCAGCAAAGATGGCAGCGGTGGTGGTGATGCGGGTGACGAGGATGCCAATGAAGGCGACGTCTTTGGAGTTGGGAAGGATGGCGGCGGATGGCGTTCCTGGTGGCGGCCAAGGAAAATGGAAGTTGACGCAGAGGAGAGTGAAGTGGGGATTGACAGGCAATGTGGCGCAGTGGAGTGATGGCGGAGGTGGATTGAGATAGTGGATCGAAAGGCGTCAGTGGTAAGCCGAAAGTGCGGCATATGTGTGTCGGTATAGGGATGGCTGGCGGACGGCAGAAGCAGAGAGGCAAGCGATGGTGGCGCAAGCTAGGAGGTGCGCAGCCAGGGGGAGGTGACTGGAAGATGGCAGATAGATTGCGTATAAATTGCAAAGAGGCGACGTAGTAGGTGGTGGTGGTGTGATGGCGTGTGGGG